CCAAAATAATGGCCTCTTTTTTTGCTTTCATCCCAATGGCTGACAAATTCTCATTTTTGTCACGGAAAAGAGAGAGGTCCTTATTATTATTTTTTAAAGGCCTGCTTGTGGTTATCTTGGTTTTCTCTTAAATTAGGAGCCCCGCAAAAGTTGCCTAGAGGTGGAGGTCTCGCCTCACAATCAGGAGGCTGTGAGTTTGATCCTAGGTAGAGGCTCCTGCTCGAGCAAGGGGGTTGGACTAGATGTTCTCCAGGGGTCCCCTCCAACTCTGTTATTCTATGATTCTATGTTGAGACTCTAGAAAGAGTGCAGAGAAGAGCAACAAAGATGATTAGGGAACTGGAGGCTAAAACATATGAAGAACGGTTGCAGGAACTGGGCCTGGCTAGTCTAGGGAAGAGAAGGACCAGGGGAGACAGGATAGCCGTCTTCCAATATTTGAGGGGCTGCCACAAAGAAGAGGGAGTCAAGCTATTCTCCGAAGCACCTGAGGGCAGGACAAGAAGCAACGGGTGGAAACTAATCAAAGAGAGAAGCAACTTAGAACTAAGGCGAAATTTCCTGATAGTTAGAACAATTAATCTGTGGAACAACTTGCCTCCAGAAGTTGTGAATGCTCCAACACTGGAAGTTTTAAAGAAGAGATTGGATAACCCACCATCTGAAGTGGTGTAGTTTCCTGTCTAAGCAGCGGGTTGGACTAGAAGACCTCCAAGGTCCCTTCCAACTCCACTATTGTATTTCTATTTCTAAATGATAATTAACCTTTTTCCTGGAAAAGGTGGATATTTAGACCCCCAAAGTCAGTAAGAAACAAGCTAAAAAGACCAGAAAATGTGCAGAATTAGAATATACTAATGTTTTTCAACTTGGCAAAGTTAAAATGGGTGGACTTCAACTCCCAGGATTCCCCAGCCTGCATAGGGAATTCTGGGAGTTGAAGTCCACCCATCTTAAAGTTGTTGATAAATGCTGTCATATGCATTTGCAGAATGCAAAATTGGGAAAGGCACCCAAGTGTACACTTAGAAGAAAAGGAACAATGTAACAGTTTTTGTTTTATTGATTGATTATATTTTTATTTTTTTAACCATTTAATAATTCTAGGTTATTGTTGCACAGAAGTATAACGCAGTTTCGTTTTGACAACACCTATTGTGGCTGGTAAATGATGACTAGTGTGGTCTGGCTTATTCAAGAGATCCTGATTAAATGGTGGTTTAAGAGGGGAATGCAGTACCTTCGAGTCCCTGCAGAGGGCGCCACTAAGCCAAAAATACAGCTGTACGGAATCTTTTCCTGCCCCATAATAAAAAAAAAAGGAACATACCAGTATTGGAGAAGTGAGTCCTCAGCTTATGAACCACAACTGAGTCCCAATTGCTGAGACCGTTGTTAAGTGAGTTTTGCCCCATTTTACAGCCTTTCTTGCCACAGTTTCTAGTTGAATCACTTCAGTCATTAAATTAGTCAAGTGGTCGTGTGAAAACTATTTTGAGTTATTTTTTTCTGTGCCATTGTAACTCTGATCAGTCACTAAACAAATGGTTATAATTCAAGGGCTGCCTGTATTTCAGACAAAGGCAAGCTCAGACTTTTTTTAAGTTCTCAACAGGGAGTTGGAGGTCTTGTTTGGTCCTTTAAGAGCTGGCAACAACCTCTATACAAAAGTACACTGGGTTGTGTGAAGAAGATAAGTAGGTAGTATCTTAGCACTGGGTCTTATGGGGACGAGGGAGTCTGAAGGAAGTGGAACTGATTAGAACCAAGTGACTTTAAAATGGAATGAGATGGGACGGGACGGGACGGGACGGGACGGGACGGGACGGAACAGAACAGAACAGAACAGAACAGAACAGAACAGAACAGAATATAGAGTGGAGTAGAATAAAGAATAGACTAGAATAAAGAATAGAATAGAATAGAAAATAGAGTAAAGTAGAATAGAATAAACTAAAAAATAGAATAGACTAAAGAATAGAATAGAATAGGAGAATAGAATAGACAATTGAATAAAATAAAATAGAATAGAATAGACAATAGAGAACAGAATAGAATGGAATAGAATAGACAATAGACCAGACTAGAGAGTAGAGTTGAAAATAGAAAATAGAATAGAAAAATAGACAGCAGTAAATAGAATAGAATAGAGAATGGAATAGAATAGAAAGAATAGAATAGAATAGAATAGAATAGAATAGAATAGAATAGAATAGAATAGAATAGAATAGAATAGAATAGAATAGAATCTTTACTGTCACTTTAAATGCACACTAATCACATACATTAAAATGAAATTTTGCTGCATTGAGCTCTTAAAGATAGCTATTATGCATATTATACCCACATACACATACATGTATGACACAGAGAAACATCACAGTCTAGCTCGAATGTATACACATACATGTTGTGGGGGGGTAGGGGAGGGAATCCTGTGAATTTAGAAGATGGATGGGCTAAGGAACGAAGCTGCTAAAAAGTCTGGTAATCCTGCTATAGATACTTCGAAACCCCCTCCCAGAGTGGAGCTACAGAAACAGACCCTGAAGTGGGTGTCTGGGGTCTCTAACAAGGCTTTGAGCTCTAAGCAGATAAGCAGCGTCATGAGTAATGGGAAGCCACCTTCCTATAATCTTTTCAGCTGTCACATTCAGACTTACAAACATCTGTAAGCCGTTTTCTGAGTAAAGTTTGACATTCTTTAAAATTAAAAATTTCCCAGTCACTCCAAGTGGTCCGTGACATACGACTACCACCGAGCCCCCAAAATTCTGTTGAGACATCCGATAAGTGCGTTTTGCCAAGTTTTACGACCTTTTTCACCACAGTTGTTCAGCAGAGCCCTGCCGTTGTGAAGTGAGTCACACGGTTGTTCGGTGAATCTGGCTCTCTCCCCACCCACCCACCCCCAGACGTCAGAAGGTTGCAAAAGAGGATCGCGTGACCCCAGGGACCCTGTGATCGTCATAAATGCGAGTCAGCTGCCGGGCATCCAAATTTTGATTGTGTGGCCGTTTGGACATAAATGTGGAAAAAAAGTGGTTATAAGCCCCTTTTTTCAGTGCCATTGTAACTTTGGTCACTAAACAAATGGTTGTAAGTCAGGGATGTTTCCCACCCACCCAGCCTGCAATTCTGGGTTTGTTTTTTTTTAAAGGTCTCCCATCCAGGTGTCAGCCAGGCCTAACCCTGCTTAGCTGTCCTCAGGGCCAGTTCAGTGCTGCCCCCTGCTGTCGAGAAAGACAGGGCTTAATTCATGATATATCCAGGCTGGAGGTGAAAATAGTTTGCCCACACCTGAAATGTAACCCTGCACAGAAGCTGCCCTTTCCCAAAAACCTCCCCCCCCCAAAGGCCCCTTGTAGGCCCCCCCCCCCCCCCCCCGTGTGCTAAACCAGAGTGCCCTGTTCCATCCTACAAAATTGGTGATCTCTTGGTGATCTCCTTTTCAAATTCCAGCCAGGTTCCATTTGGCTTCCAATTCAGCCAGTTGAACGAACCTGAATCGAACTTGATGTCTGAGGTGTTCCAGAGAGGGAGCCCAATCACTCAAAGATGGTCAATTGCTTGAGAACTGAAGGATTTAATTAATCCTTTCTGGCTACCAGCTGGGGAACTAACCCATTCGATTTACCATTCTCTGTGTCTCAGTCTCTGTGTGTCTCTGTGTCTGTCTCTTTCTGTCTCTCTGTCTGTCTCTTTGTGTGTGTGTGTGTGTATCTGTCTTTCTCTCTGTGTTTTTCTCTCTCTGTGTTTCTCACTTTGTTTCTCTATGTCTGTTTCTCACTGTTTCTCTCTCCCTCTCTGTATCTCTCTCTCACTGTCTCGATCTCTCCGTCTGTCTGTGTCTCTGTGTGTCTCTCCATCTCTCTCTCTCTCTCTCTGTCTTTGTTTCTTCTCTCTCTTTCTCTCTCTTTCTGATATTCTAACTCAAGGTTTCTCAACCATGACAACTTTTGAGATGGGTGGACTTCAACTCTCAGAATTAAACTTCAATTAACTTACGTTTCCTTCCGCGTGCCATCACCTGCTTAACATATAATTCTCACAACTGACAAAATACAATAACTATATAATAAGTTATTGTTGACTAATGAGGATTCATATTAACCACCAAGGTGTGGCTGCAGTATTATTATTTATCCCTTTTATTACTTGATAGTTCCCCATTCTATTAGCTGAACACTTTAGTATTATTATTATATTATGTTGTTTTACCGGAGATCAGTTCCTTGGGTGTCTAACCACACTGGCCAAATAAATAAAATGTAATTCCTCAGCCAGCCTTGCGTTTCTCCACAATGATAGCTTTCTGATAGGCAGACTTCAATCCCCAGAATTTTTCATCTAGCCTCGTGTTTCTCAAATATGACAGCTTTCTGATAGGGGGACTTCGACTCCCAGAATTCCCCAGCCGGGCCTTGTGTTTCTCAAATATGACAGCTTTCTGATAGGGGGACTTCGACTCCCAGAATTCCCAAGCCAGCATAGCATGTCTCAATTACAGCAGCTTTTTGATACAATTCTCCATCCAGCCTCGTATTTCTCAACCATGGCTGTTTTCTGATAGGTGGACTTCAACTCCCAGAAATTCCCCAGCCGGGCCTTGTGTTTCTCAATTCTGGGAATTGAAGTCCACCCATTTTTAAAGCCGCTAACGTTGGGAAAAACACTGTTCTAACCTAACCCCAGTCCCGTCTCAACGCAACACAAGATCCTGTTATTTTCATCTCCGCTTCCAGGGCACCCTGAGAGCTTGCGCGTTGCATCGTTGCCAAGGTGGCACGGAGCCCAAACTAAACTGCAGTTTCTCAACCCTGGCTGACTCATCCCGGAGGGAACTTGGGCTACCCCCAGGGGCAGGCGCTTAGCTAGATGAGATGATGTTTCATCACCATAATAATAATAATAACTTAAAAAAAAAAAACACACAGCCAGGAAACCATCCGGATGGCGAGTGGCGTTCGATTTATTACATCAAAAAAAAGAAACAACACCCCGGGGGTGGGACGCTCCCCCCAAAAAAACATAGGAGAGAAAAATGAAGAAAATACGAGGGCACCGACGGCACGAGAGAATTCTCCCAGGATAGCTGAGGTTCCACCACCACCACTTAAAATATTTTCCCCCCTCCAAAAAAATACTAATATATATATAAGGCAGCAACGAAGGATACTTTCCCAAAGTGTGGGACGAGAGGCAGGAATGGGGGCTCCCCCTCTTAAGGGTTGCCCCATCCTCCTCCACCCTACCAGGAGGCACTGCAGGCAGGGATTGGAGGGGGGTATGTGTGTGGACCCCAGACCCTGCAAGAAGCTGAGGAAAGGAGTGTGTATATTGAGGGGGGTTGACCCCCAATGGGTCCAGCTCCGTCCAACAGGAGCAGGCGATCCATTTCTAGTGGCTAAAACCCAAAGGAGTCAATGTTTTGGCTATATATTCCTTCTGTTTGCTCAATTCTGGGACGTGGCGAGCTTCTCTGTACCACACATGGGCTCCAGCTGTTCTTTGGTCTCTTTGCTGAGGTCGTTCTCTGCTTCCCCGGCGTCCATCTTGGGGTACACGACCACGCAGAGCTTCTGCCCCACCCGAGTGATCCCATCTGGAAGGGAGAAGAAAAACACGCGACGGGTAAAGAAAACAGCAGGAGTGCTTGGGGGGGGTGGGGTCTCTGAGCTGGGTAGTTTTTCTGGCAGACGTTTCATGACCCAACTAGGGAACATCATCAGCGCTAGAAGGGAGGGAGGTTTGTGGAGTGAAAGGGAGGGAGGGAGGAGGATGGGGTCCTGGGAGCTCTCTGAACTTGGTAGTTTTTCTGGCAGACGTTTCATGACCCAGCTAGGGAACTTCATCAGTGCTAGAAAGAGAGGTTGTGGAGAGGAGGAGGAGGAGGAGGAGGAGGAGGAGGAGGACGACTGTGGGTTGTTTGGTGCTCTCTTGAGCTTGGTTGTTTTCCTTGCAGACGTCTCATG